CTGGCGACGGAGCGGCGGCCCCCGCGGCGCGGCGCGGGGAACCTAGCAACGGGAGAGACCCCGGCCGCCTTCAGTGCGTCTCCCCCGCCGCCATCTTAGTGTTTTAAGGCAAAACAAAATGGCGCCCGACGGGCCGGGCCAGGGCAAGGCATTGTGGGACACGTGGTTTTGCCAGCGCCGCGCTTCGCATTGCCGCCGAGGGAGAGAGGGTCGGGGAAACCGCCTTTCCCAGCAGGCAACGGGGAGGAGCGGGTCGCTCGCGGGCGACAGCGAGGGCGTGCCGAAGTGGCGTTTGGGAAATGTAGTTCGCCGTCCACACGCTTCGGCAGCCGGCATCGGGGAGTGTGGTCCGTGGGAGACTACATTTCCCAGCAGGATAGCGCCTCTCCGGGAGCCTACCTGGTTACTGGGGGCGGGGACGGTCGTTCTGAGAAATGTACTTGTGTAATCTCACCCATCGGTCCTAATTAGTGTTCTATGTACGCTGAGCCCTTTGGCAGCCACCCAAGAAGGGTTCAGATGCTGCCTTCTGATTAGTGGAGGTCCACAGCCCGCAGCATGTGTTTCTACTCTTGGTGCACATCTGCACATGCCTCAGTGCACATAACAAAATTTATTCCACACATTGATGGAAAAAGTTAGAGGGAACAGTACTCCTAGGCTATGTCTAGACTGGCAAGTTTTTCCACAAAATCAGCTGCTTTTGCGGAAAAACTTGCCAGCTGTCTACACTGGCCACTTGAATTTCCGCAAGAACACTGACTTCCTACTGTAAGAAATCAGTGCTTCTTGCGGAAATACTATGTTGCTCCCGTTCAGGCAAAAGCCCTCTTGTGCAAATCATTTGCGCAAGAGGGCCAATGTAGACAGCACAGTACTGTTTTGCGCAAAAAAGCCCCGATCGCGAAAATGGCGATCGGAGCTTTTTTGCACAAAAGCGCGTCGAGATTGGCATGGATGTTTTTCCGCAAAAAGTGCTTTTGTGGAAAAGCGTCCATGCCAATCTAGACGCTCTTTTCCGCAAATGCTTTTAACGGAAAACTTTTCCGTTAAAAGCATTTGCGGAAAATCATGCCAGTCTAGACGTAGCCCTAATGTATCCCTCCCTACCTTAGCATTTAGGGTAGATGAACACCTGCCCCAGGGTTTGTGGCCTTGAGATGCAACAGGCTTTGGTTAATGGGTGCAGCTGTGGAACCTCCACTCACCTTCATCCATCCATGCATCCCATAGGTGCTGGAACTAGGTGCTGTGCAACCTCCCACTAATCCATGCATCCCATAGGTGTTGCCACTCCCCCTGGCTTGAAGTGGTTTCCATGATATACGGAATTTACAATTTGGTTCAGTGGCTCTCAGCACCTCTGCATCCTCCCCTCTCTCTCCATCCCTTCACTTTTCTCCAGCCCCCTCATCGCTTTCCCACACCATCCATCTAGCACCCACTTTCTCCATCCCATTATCTCTCCATCCATCTCTCCTTATAGCTCAGTTGTTTATGTAGCATCTGCCATTGTGTGAAGTGACACCAAACAGGAAGAAAATGTAGCCATTTTAGGTCAGTACTGGCACCCCTTAGGGTAGAGAAGGTAGTTTTTCCCCCAAAAATAAAATGGCTATCCATGGAGCCTTGCAAAAGGTGGTTTGTATCTTCAAAGCAGACAGGACACTGGCTTCTTCAGCTTTCCACTGTAACTTCATAATCTGTAAAAATTTAGTTTGATACCTTTAAAAATGCCTTGAATTGGTTAACCTCCAAAATAAAGTTGTTAGAAGGAGCAACATCACAAAAACACAGCTGTGCCTGCTGTACACACTGCACTTTTAACAGCCCTAACATGAGATATTTTATAAATGTGAATTTTTTAGTAAATCTTTCAGGAGGTTCCCATCAATTCCTGGATGGGACAATATGGTCGAGAGATAATAAACATCACAATGTGTGTAACAGTAAGTAGCCAGTGGGTTCTGTATATATGGACTCTTGCCATGTGAGAAGGAGCATATTCTTTTATAAGGCCCTGACTTACATTGTGTGACTGAAGGCAAGAAATACACAGTTCAGCCTTTGGTGAAACTAACTGCAACTGTGTTGACTTCAGTGTAACAGCACCTGCTTGCACCAGGTTTGAATTTGGCCCTGTGAGTTTCACCATGTAGCCTCTAATGAAAAGGGAAGTACATGTGTGATGTTACCCCAGGGCTACATCTAGACTGGCATGATTTTCCGCAAATGCTTTTAATGGAAAAGTTTTCCGTTAAAAACATTTGCGGAAAAGAGTGTCTAGATTGGCACAGACGCTTTTCCGCAAAAAGAGACCCCCATCCCTCCACTACCACTCAGCGCCAGCCACTGACCCCAAAGTCCCCTGCACCGAATACCCCAGTGCCAGCCTCAGGACACACCTTTCCCAACAGCCTTGGCAGGAGTGGAGGTGCTGGGTGGTGTACTTTGATAGGGGAGCTGGCCCTGTGCTTCTGACAGGGGTATTGGTGGCACTATTCCATTGTGTTTGTTATCTAAAACCCCTGGGCTGTGTCTAGACTGGCAAGTTTTTCCACAAAAGCAGCTGCTTTTGTGGAAAAACTTGCCAGTCTAGACACAGCCCAGGGGTTTTAGATAACAAACACAATGGAATAGTGCCACCAATACCCCTGTCAGAAGCACAGGGCCAGCTCCCCTATCAAAGTACACCACCCAGCACCTCCACTCCTGCCAAGGCTGTTGGGAAAGGTGTGTCCTGAGGCTGGCACTGGGGTATTCGGTGCAGGGGACTTTGGGGTCAGTGGCTGGCGCTGAGTGGTAGTGGAGGGATGGGGGTCTCTAGGGGTTAGGGACGGCAGTGGGGGGTTCTGGGGCTGGGATGTATCCCAGTCATGGCCCCCAGAGCTGCTGTAAACATGTAGTGACTGCCGGAGCTGAAACCAGCTGTTTGTGGCTGCTCTGGAGGCTGGAGCTTTTGGCAGACTGGTAACATTTCATTTCCATGTTTGCATATTCATTATTTGGCTAATAAATATGCAAATATGCAAATAAAATGTTACCGGACCGCCAAAAGTTTGTGAATCGGTTTGCCAGTATGCGGTATAAAAAAGGTTGGGAACCACTGCTTTAAGCAACCGTATTAAAAGAAGAGATAAAGCAGTGTGGAATCAACTGAAACAGTGTTACTGGGGGAATGAATTTACACGAGAAGGGAATGGGGGAATAATCCGACACATCTAATATAACATAAACATGACAGTGCAGTGGAAGTGACAGCAAAATACTGGCATGACGCCTGAATCCAAAAACCAACTGCATTATCCCTT